GGAAGGTTGGGGACACGGGAAGATGAAGGATTTGGGAAGGTTGGGGATGTGAGAAGATGGAGGATTCGGGAAGGTTGAGGATGTGAGAAGATGGAGGATTTGGGAAGGTTGGGGGCACAGGATGGTGTTGGGGGCACAGGGATGGGATGGGGACAGGATTGGGGGGGAGGAAAGGCTGGGGACACAGGAAGATGGAGGATTTGGGAAGGTTGGGGACACGGGAAGATGAAGGATTCAGGAAGGTTGGGGACACAGGAAGATGAAGGATTCAGGAAGGTTGGGGGCACAGGAAGATGGAGGATTTGGGAAGGTTGGGGACACAGGAAGATGGGGGATTCAGGAAGGTTGGGGGCCCAGACCCCACCTGAGATGTCGGAGAACTCTGCGGCGCTGAAGGGCGGCTGCTCCTCGCGGGGGACGGTGCTGAAGGCCTGGAGAGCCGGGGCCAGAACCACCGACCCGGCACTGGCCTGGCGGAGCAGGGCCTCCAGGTACCTGGGAATGGAGCCATGGGAATGGGAGCATGGGAATGGGAGCCATGGAATAGGAGCCATGGGATGGGAGCCATGGAATGGGAGCCACGGGAATGAGATCCATGGGATCAGACCCACAGGACCTACGGGATGGCACCAGCCTGGCACAGCAGGGCCTCCAGGTACCTGGGAACGGGAGCCATGGGAATGGGAGCCACGGGATGGGAGCCGCGGGAATGGGAGCCGTGGGATGGGAGCCATGGGATGGGAGCCATGGGAATAGGAGCCATGGGATGGAAGCCATGGGATCAGACCCATGGGATGGCACCAGCCTGGCACAGCAGGGCCGCCAGGTACCCCAGGATCCCCCCCATGTCCCCAGTGTCCCCAATGTCCCCATTACCAGTCAGTGTAGATGGCAGTCAGGGTGGGCTGTCCCCCCATACCCCATATCCCATACCCCATACCCCACACCCCATTACCAGTCGGTGTAGATGGCAGTCAGGGTGGGCTGTCCCCCCATATCCCAGTGTCCCCAATGTCCCCAGTGTCCCCAGTATCTCCATTACCCACCAGTCAGTGTATATGGCAGTCAGGGTGGGCTGTCCCCCCAGTATCCCCAGTATCCCCATTACCAGTCGGTGTAGATGGCGGTCAGGGTGGGCTGTCCCCCCATCCCCCAGGATCCCCCCAGTGTCCCCAGTGTCCCCAGTGTCCCCAGTATCCCCATTACCCACCAGTCAGTGCAGATGGCAGTTAGGGTGGGCTGTCCCTCACACCCCCCATACCCCAGGATCCCCCCCAGTGTCCCCAGTATCCCCAGTATCCCCATTACCAGTCTGTATAGATGGCAGTCAGGGTGGGCTGTCCCCCCCATGTCCCCAGTGTCCCCAGTATTCCCAGTATCCCCATTACCAGTTGGTCAGGGTGGGCTGTCCCCCCACCCCCCAGGATCCCCCCAGTGTCCCCAGTGTCCCCAGTATCCCCATTACCAGTCGGTGTAGATGGCAGTCAGGGTGGGCTGTCCCCCATCCCCCAGTATCCCCAGTATCCCCAGTATCCCCATTACTCACCAGTCAGTGTATATGGCGGTCAGGGTGGGCTGTCCCCCTGTGTCCCCAGTATCCCCAGTATCCCCAGTATCCCCATTACCAGTCTGTATAGATGGTGGTCAGGGTGGGCTGTCCCCCCATTCCCCCAGTGTGCCCAGTATCCCCATTACCCACCAGTCAGTGTATATGGCAGTCAGGGTGGGCTGTCCCCCCATTCCCCCAGTATCCCCAGTATCCCCATTACTCACCAGTCAGTGTATATGGCAGTCAGGGTGGGCTGTCCCCCCATGTCCCCCCCAGTATCCCCAGTATCCCCAGTATCCCCATTACCCACCAGTCTGTATAGATGGCTGTCAGGGTGGGCTGCCCGTTTCCATCGCGGGGGTGGCTCTGCTGCAGGAGGACCCCCCTGAGCAGCCGGGCCGTGTCGAGCCCCCCGAGCCCCCCC